AATACAAAAACATTTTTACAGTTGAATTAAATGTTTTTTTTAGTTAATTATAATGTTATCTATTCAATATTAATTTTATTATCATAAAAATTATTTTACATTATGTTCTTGATTTTAATTCTTCTTATTATTGTATATTAAAATTTTTTTCTTGAAATGTTTGGAGTTACAAAAATTCCTTTGTAATTAAAATAAAATGTAAATATTTATGAATAAATAAATTATTATTCCTTTATAAAATTTACAAAATTTATTATCCTCTTTATATTATTTTACGAAGTTACAAATGCTATTTATTGCTACACAATAATTATTATTAAATAATTATTGACAATTTTTCTGTACATATTAGGCCTAGTACATATGTAGATGGGTGATTCTCTGCGTAGCGCACAACTTGCTTTTTTCATGTTGTGAAAGAAAAATCACAAATAATATTCACATAATATTTCGATTCCAATGTAAAAAAGTAATTTCTGTGACTACAAACAAAAACCAATAGTTATTTTTGTATTTAACATTATAATTTTTCGTGAAAAGTGGTTTTTAAGCCTGTAAACGTCAAAATTTCACCTGTCCCCACAGGATGTTTAAACAAAAAAGTTAATATTTTTAGCAATGTGCACTAATAAATACAATTTCTATTGCTATTTTAGTATTGTACATTGTAGTGGAATTGAATAAACAAGGAGGGGGTCCTTTATGTTTATTTCATAAACATTATGCTTCCTCATTGTGTGAAGCAAAAAATTCGCTTCCTCGTGAAGGAAGCAATGAATTTGTCCAATTCAATTGATTGATTTAAAAAATTTCGAGTTAAAAATGTTTTAAATTAATTAAATTTTTTAAAAAATAAAGAAAATTTTAATTAATTTTGAGTGTAACATAAACTTTATATATACGAATCGATTCGTTTTAATGCAAGGAATACAATTATTTTATTCATCAACTTGAATTTAAAAAAAACACAAAATTTTTTAGCTAAAATATGAATTTTCGATTTTTCAATTTTTATTAATTCTCAAATTTTAAATCAAATCTATACTTTATATATACCAACCAATTCGTTTCAATGCAGGGAATAAAATTATTTTATATATAAACATGAATTTAAATAAACACATCATTTTTTAGCTAAAATGAGAATTTTTGATTTTTTAACTTTCTTTAATTCTTTAAATTTCAATCAAATCTATACTTTATATATATCAATCGATTCATCTTGACATAAAGAAGACGATTATATTATATATTACCTTAAATTTTTCGATTTAAAAATTTTTTCAATTAAAAAAAAAATTTTGGAAAAAAGACGATAAAATTTTTTTTTGGGGGTATTTTTAAAAATCCTCTCGTCATTTTTGAGAGATTAATGTGTTAAATAAGCCTACCAAATTTTATCCAAATCCATTAAAACCTGTTAAAGATATCGTGTTCACAAAAACGATCCACACACACATACACACACACATACATACATCCGGACAATTGATCAGGATCTCATATAACATGTTTCTATATAGAGGAAAATTTGTTTTCACCATTTTTAAAAAGTTTATAAACGAAAGGACTACATAGCTTCCTCCACGAGGAAGCAAAAAACGTTTGATCAAAAAAAAAATTATTTTCTTTTTTTTTTGCTATTTATACTTGACTGCACTTTTGTGTGTTATTCTGCGTTTTATTATTAAACATTTAATTATTTAAATAAAAGTCAAATGTTAATATAGTTCTACGTCAGTAACAGTAAAAGTTATATTCCTTAAGTTAATCCATGAAGAAAGTAATCAATTTTCTAATTGATTTATCCTTTTTTTACACATTTTAAGATTCAAATTTGTACAGGGCATCACAAAATCGTCTCCACCGACCCTTTAATATTATTTAAAAAAAATAGAATATAATTAAATAATAAAGGTTAAATAATGTGTAGTTATATTATTTTAGTCTATATATATATGGGACGTTCTTTGTCAACCGGACCACCCCATCTCTCCATAATTGGTTTAATTTAAAAAAATTTTATTTTATTCGAAAAATTAGCTTGGAATGTCTACTTTTTAATCCCGTTGGGCGCTTTTTGAAATTCAAAATGGCGACTTAAATATGGCGCCTAAACGACATAAAAAACACAAAAAATCCACTAATATGATCTATATTATTGTTTAAAGCTTCACATATGACGATAAAAATAACCACAACATAGTTTACTTACAAACTGATAACGTATCTCCATTCAAAATTTAAAAATTCAAAATGGCGGATTAAATATGGCGGATAAAATTAAAAATTGAGCTAGACTCGTGAAAATTACTACTTGGGGGTTTTCGAGGTCGCTGATTACGAATCCGATGTTAGTTTTCAAAAATTCAAAATGGCGGATCCAATATGGCGGACAAAAATTTAAAAATTGTTTAGATTCGACTGAAACTTGTTACTCGGGGGTTTTTGGGGTCGCTGATTACGAATCCGTTGTTAGTTTTTAAAAATTCAAAATGGCGGATTCAATATGGCGGACAAAATTGAAAGTCGTGTAGATTCGATTGAAACTTGTTACGCGGGGGTTTTTGGGGTCGCTGATGACGAATCCGGTGTTAGTTTTCAAAAATTCAAAATGGCGAATCCAATATGGCGGACAAAAAAAATTGAAAGATCGTGTAGATTCGATTGAAACTTGTTACACGGGGGTTTTTGGGATCGCTGATTACGATTCCGGTATTAGTCTCCAAAAATTCAAAATGGCGGATCCAATATGATGGACAAAAATTAAAAAATCGTTTAGATTCGCCTGAAACTTGTTACTCGGGAGTTTTTGGGGTCGCTGATTACAAAGCCGTTATTAGATTTTAAAAATTCAAAATGGCAGACTTTAAATAGTAGCCCAAAATTTAAATAATTAAGTTAAACCCGTGAAATTGTTTACTCGGGTGTTTTCGGGGTCACTGATTACGAATCTGCGGTTACTGTTTAAAAATTCAAAATGGCTGACCACAAATCCAAAAAATTGAGCTAAACTCGTTAAAATGTCTACGTAAGGGTTTTTCAGGACAATCTTTACGAATTCATCGTTACTTTTTAAAAAATCAAATTGTGAATATAAAATGGTGGACCAAAATATAAAAAATTGATCTAACTTTTTTATATTGAACGTAAAAAGGTGCCATTTGAACTTATCAAATACAACGCCAGATAACTTTTTATGGAAATTACGTGAGGATTATTTAATTAATAATCACAAGACTAGCTTAATTTTTTAATTCTATCCGCCATTTTGAATTTTAAATAGAGATTTGTCATCAACCATTTAAAATTTTTTTAAAACTTACATCGGATTTGTAATCAGCGACCAAAAAAACCCCTATGTAGACATTTTTACGAAATTAGCTCCATTTTTTAAATTTTTGTCAGTCATATTGGATCCGCCATTTTGAATTTTTGAAAACTAACACCGGATTCGTAATCAGCGACCTCGAAAACCCCCAAGTAGTAATTTTCACGAGTCTAGCTCAATTTTTAATTTTATCCGCCATATTTAATCCGCCATTTTGAATTTTTAAATTTTGAATGGAGATACGTTATCAGTTTGTGAGTAAACTATGTTGTGGTTATTTTTATCGTCATATGTGAAGCTTTAAACAATAATATAGATCATATTAGTGGATTTTTTGTGTTTTTTATGTCGTTTAGGCGCCATATTTAAGTCGCCATTTTGAATTTCAAAAAGCGCCCAACGGGATTAAAAAGCAGACATTCCAAGCTAATTTTTCCAATATAATAAAATTTTTTTAAATTAAACCAATTATGAAGAGATGGGGTGGTCCGGTTGACAAAGAACGTCCCATATATATATATATATATGTATATATGTGAAACATATGAAACCGATTAAAAATAAATGATAATTTTCTCAAAAAAAAAAAATAATAATTAACATCAATTCCACCGGTTCGACCGACCCCAGCGTCTCCACCCGCCACAAAATTTCGACCGTCACTAGTCCAAGTTTAATACCTACACAATGAAACAAACGAAATTCAAAATATTTATTATAAACTATCATAGCTTCGGTAAGTTTACTAGGTATAACTTACCAAATAAATTTCTATAAATTACTGTATAAATTTCCATAAATTACCGCATAAATTTCCATAAATTACCAAAATAAAATTTTTAATTGTCGTTCGCGCTATATATATTTTTGTAAATTACCACGAAATTTTTCATAAATTACCGAAATTAAAATCTTTAATTGCGATTTATGCTTTACATATTTTTATGAATTATAGCCAAAATTTCTATAAATTACCATATAAATTTCCATAAATTACTGAAATAAAATTTTTAATTGTCTTTCGCGCTATATATATTTTTGTAAATTACCGCGAAAATTTCCATAAATTACCGCGGAAATTTCCGTAAATTACCAAAATAATAATTTTTAATTGTGATTTATGCTTTACATATTTTTATGAATTTTAGACAAAATTTCTATAAATTACCGCATAAATTTCCATAAATTACCTCGAAAATTTCCGTAAATTACCGAAATAAAAATTTTTAATTGTCATTCGCGCTATATATATATTTTTGTGAATTACCCCAAAAATTTCCATAAACATTTTAAATCAAATTTCAACTATTTTATTCAATTCAACAAGCAAAGAATTTTTTTTTAATTTGTTTAAAAAAAATTAAAAAATTATAAAAAATTTTTCCGGCCCACCATGGATATTTATTTCTTGACATTTTATCTTCAAAAATATGTAGTGATATTTATTATTTCGATAAAAAAATATTTCTAAAGTTTCAGACACCAAATCAAGCACTACGCGGAGAATCACCCATATATTTTTATTATGAAAAAATAAATTAACATTGTGTGATTGTCTATTGTCGTTAAATAAATATTAGTCAGTGTTATCACAGAAATGTGAGTGATAGCATAATTTACTTTTCTAATGGGTATATATAGGGTAGAGTAGGGAGTTGTGCTCCAGGTTTTGTTTTACGATAAAAACTATTTCATTAATTTTTTTTTTTTTTTTTTGACTATTTTATTATATAGAACTTTTAGTACACCGACAAACACAACATTTGACATAATTGATTAATTACGGCTCCCCACGAGGCACAACTCCCCACTCTTCCCTATATAAAAAAATGAATTTAGAGAATTTAACGTAGTCTTCTTTAAAAGAATCCAATATGCGTAACATAGTTTTTTTCATTATTCTCTACAAAATATTTTACATAACTTCTATATTTGGTCGACCAGCAGATAATACAGCATATGGTAATCTTTTAATTATAAATTTATTTAACATTTTTTTCTTATTGTTTACTGGAATGCAAATAATGCAATATTTATCAATTTATTTTCAGTGAAAGAAGAAACCTTCGATAATATATTTCAAGCGGCCCGTAAGTTTAATTTCAAAAAATATTTTTTAATAATAATTAAAAAAAAAAGTATAAAATTTTATTATGGGCATAGAAAGATAAAAATTGTAAAAATAATATTTATATATTTTAATAATATTTATTTTATTATAGATAAATGTCATAGATTTCTTGAAGACTGTATGAGAAAGGCAGATTTTAAACTTGATGTACAAAACAGATGTTTTGGTAATAGTTAATAATTTTTTATTTATTACATATAAAAAGCAAAAAAAAAAAATAGGCAAAAATTAAAAGAAATTTTTTTTTTTCATTGAGAATAAATAGAACAAGCAATTTTAACAAAATTTCAATAATACAGAAGAATAATTATTCTAGAAATCGAAAGATTTCTCTAGTTTTGTTAAAAAAAAATTTTCTGTTACAAATATTCGTATTCATTTCAAATTCAGAGGATTTCTATTAGGGTCAGCCGGGGTAAATCCGAACGGGGGGTAAATCCGAACGCTAATTATTTCAGCTTAATTAAAATTTTTAAAAATAAGTTCGATATGAGAATTTTTACCTCAGATCCTCTTCAAGAGATTCTAAGTATTATCCCATTTTTCGTTTGTTAATTAGCAACAGCATAAACAAAGATAACGAGTATTGCAAAAAAGATTGAAAATCAAAGATGACACTCTTTCAGTATTTTGTCTCGTATTTGAAGAAAAAGAAGCTAAAAATTTATTTTATTATTTATAATTGTTTGTTATGAATACTAGAAGAGAAACTATTTTTCATTTTTGCCTTCTGTAAAATTTTATTAATAATATCAGACCGTTCGTATTTACCCAGGAAAATTGGAAAACCGGGGTAAATCCGAACGGTATTTTCAATCATTTTGTTTTACATTAGAGCCACACAAAATTGTTTTTATTTCATTACAGTATTATTTTAACATTATAAAAGTACATAGAAAAAAGTTTTTCTTTCTATACGTATTCTCGTTAGTAATTAATAAGCAGAAACTTAATCTCTGTTCTCTCGAAGGAGTGTTTCAAATTGATACTCGGGGGGTTTCAGGGTCGCTGATTACGAATTTGGAGTTAGCAAATTTCATCATTTTTAAAAATAAGTTTTAGGAAAGTCCGACATTTTGAATTTAAAAAAATTTGAAGGTTTTAATTGTGTAATGCATTTTAATTTTTAACCTGTTTGATTTTTGTATTTATATATGATGCATTATTACATAATAGGTTTATTATTGTATTTTTTTTGAGTTTTTATATAAGTTTAACAATTGCAATACTTTAAATTTATTTTCCCTAAGATTTTTCTGAAATACAGTGGCGTTCGTATTTATCCCGGTATTTTAGGAAAGTTGCAAAGTATCGAGGTAAATACGAATAACGCTAAGTTTCCTGCGATTGTAATTTATCAAAAATTTTTGCTACCCCATAAAATTGTTCTATGGAATTAAAGTAACAACTACATGCACCAGAATACCGGAAGTATTTTTTTTTTTAAAGAAAAAACTTATGTTATTGTTGAAACTTACTAAAAGCGTTCGGATTTACCCCGGTTGACCCTATAATAATTGATATATTTTTTAAAATTATTAATTATTCAATGTATTGAAAATGATTTATTTTTTTATAATATAAGAAAAAAAAACTCCTAATATGCTACTGTGTTTAATGCAATATTTTTTTCAGAGATGTGCGTAACAGAATTGAGCGAATCAAAATTTATTTGTAACAAGAATGCAGATATTAAATATTGCCATCATGACTTAAATGATAATTATTATTTCTACAATGTAAACTAGCGTTATTAACATGCACCAGACAATAATTATTAATGTTAATGAATTTACATGTTAATTAATTGCAAATAAATTAAATGTTAATAATTTATTAACGAAATTATTTTTTTCTTTGAAAATTAATGCTAAATAAATGTATTATAAATTTTAATGAAATAAAATATTTACTATTCAAAATTATATCTGTGTTTTAAAAATTCGACAAATAACACAGCCCCACAAAAAAAAAGTGTCATGTACTTTTGACCGGAATACCCTAACCCTATGTATTTTGACGCGCTAAACACGAATCCGAAGTCCGTTTTGCTCCATCACGTCAGGATTTTTTTCTAACTTCAAAAAACATGTCGGATTTTGAGAAGTAGGCGATTTTTTTAAAAATTGATGTATTAACTTCAAACTTGGTATCTGGGGGTTTTTTGTGTCGCTGATTACGAATCTAAGTTAGATTTTCAAAATCAAAAATGGCGGATCCAATATGGCGGACGAATTTTGAAAAAATTTTAAGATTTACTTCAAACTTGGTATCTAGGGGTTTTTTGGGTCGCTGATTACGAATCTGATGTCAGTTTTCAAAAATTGATAATGGCGTATCTAATGTGGCCGATAGAAGTCCATGTTGGATATGCCATTTTGAATTTTTGAAATCTGACATTAGATTCGTAATCAGTGACCCAAAAAACCCCCAGATACACTATTGCACATTAATTTTTGAAAAATTTCGTAAAATAATGTCCCCCTACCAAAAACAAATTCAAGGGGTATTTCCCCCCCATAAATCAGCTTTTGGATAAAAACAAAACATACGTGTCAAAGTGTTTTCAAAAAACTACAAAACTGCCAAGTTTCAGAAAAATCGGCGTATGGCACTTCCCTAGTGTTACTTGTCAGCAACTTAGAAAACCTGTAGATACCAAATTTCATAAAAATCTGGCAATTTTTAAAAAATAATTCCTTAATATTGAATCAGACATATCGAATTTCGGAAATCTGACATCAGATTCGTAATCAGCGACACAAAAAACCCCCAGATACCAAGTTTGAAGTTAATACATCAAATTTTGAAAAAATCGCCTACTTCTCAAAATCCGACATGTTTTTTGAGGTTAGAAAAAAATGCTGACGTGATGGAGCAAAACGGACTTCGGATTCGTGTTCAGCGCGTCAAAATACATAGGGTTAGGGTATTCCGGTCAAAAGTACATGACACTTTTTTTTTTGTGGGGCTGTGTAATATCCCTCAGACCATAATGGCGCACTCACACCTTTTTGGCTACCTGCCTGCCTGTAGATTACCATGGCAATGCACGAGTGTGAGTGAGACAGAAAATTTGAATATTCAAATTTTTAATTTTTCTGTCCCACTCACTCTCATGCGTTGTCATGGTAACCTGCAGGCAGCCAAAAAGATGTGAGAGCGCCTTAATACGCTTTTTTTACACTGAAAAAACATTTATTTGATTCAAATAATCGATTAAAATAGAATTTATTTAATTCAATGCCTGTTAATTTACTTTTTTGTAGTTTGTAGGGTCCTTAAATGATATAAAAACTGGTTTTTTTTTTTAAATGTTTCGACCCATCTTTTGAGTCATCTTCAGTATAATTTTATTATTTCGTGTAATGTACATTTATAACCTATGTATTTTTAAAATTGTTGTACATAAAGAATATGATAATTTTTTAACGTTAATATAATTTTTTAAAAGAATATTAAAACTCTTTGGAAAGAAATTGGCTTACCTTATACACTGAGAAAAATGTTTAGTCAGAGCAACCAAAATTTTGTTTGGTTAGCTCAACCAAATTTTTTTTGTTAGGTCAACAAAAATGTTTGGTTGATCAAACAAACATTTTTTTTTGTAAAATTAAAAATTTTATTCTACCTTATTTCTTTTCTTTTTATCTTTTTTATTTATTTCATTATTTATTTATTATCAATTTAACATTGAATTTATATTGATCCCATTGAAATATTTGTGGACTTTAAAAAATCTCTTCTCCACCTGGGATCGATCCTCTGTTTTAAAACTGAAGGTCGGATGCTCTAACCACTGGACTACCCATCCTTATGAGAGATTTAAACTAACTGTTCTCTTAAGCTATGAGCTGAGAGCGAATCAAATTATTTGGTTGTCGCAACCAAATTTTGGTTAGGACAACAAACGATCATTTGGTTTTTTATAGACCAAACTATTTTGTTGTGTTAACCAAATTATTTTGTTGTCATAACCAAATTTTGATTGGAATTTAAAAATGTTCAACCAAATGTTTGGTTGAGATAACTCTACGACTTTGTTTCAGCCAACCAAAATTTGGTTACACGAACCAAAATTGCCTAATCAAACAATTTTGTTGCAAACACTAAATTTTTTTTTCTCAGTGTAACATGTAAAGTAAATATTTGATGTAGATTTATTGCTTATTCATGCGTGTCTAATAAACAGTGTTCTTCATTTCATATGTAAAATTTTTAATTTGTTTTATATTTCGCATTCATTTCTGAGTATACATAAAGAAAAAATCGGACAAGTGCGAGTTACACTCGCATTAAAAAAAATTTTCATTACCTAAAATTTGAGGGGGTTAAAGTGTGAAGGCCGATGGAACAATTTTGCTTAATTTTTCCTGTAATGTGAGCATGAAAACACATAGATAGACACATTGGACATAGAAAATTATCAGTTTTTCCTTAAAAACGCTATGATAATTAACTCCAATCATGCTCACTATATTTTTTTGTAATCTACATGTAAAAATACGTAAAAATGTATTAAGTTGAATCCCTAAAGATAAAATTTTCTTTTTTTTTTATTCGAAAAATCCATGATTTTTTCTAAAAATATGAGTTTTCCTTAAAAACAATATGATCATGAACCTAACACGAGCACGCTATATTTTTCCAGTAATCTACATGCAAAAATACGCATGTATACAAAAAATGAACTGTCTTGGTCAAATAGTGTGTGCGCTAGGAGGATTAAACGCTTTTTTTTCAAAATTTTTGATTTTTCCTTGACATAGCTATGTAAATCAATCCGAATCATGTTCGCAATATTTTTCCTGTAATTTTCACGTAAAAATACATAAGTGTACCAAATTTGAGCTCTCTATGTAAAAAGATGTGGCCACCAGGGGGGGGGGTACATAGTCATTTTTAGGGATTTTTCGTAAAAATTCATGGGTTTTCCTTGACAAAGTTATGATAATCAATTCCTATGAGATTCGCTATATTTTTTCTGTAATCTACACGCCAAAATACATATGTGTACCAAATTTCAGCTCTCTAGATAAATTCGTGTGGTCGCTAGGGGGGGGATACATGCCTTGCTTCACTAGTAGTCTCATTAATAGGGTTCCCCCTTCGGGTACGAAAACCCTAATAAATTAATAAATTATTATTTAATTGTGCAATAATTGAATAATTAATTATTAATTATAAGTAATTTCTACATTCGGTTTTTCATTTTAGTTTTTATTTTAATTTTTAAACTAGCGATGTATTCCTCGCTCGCTAACGCTCGCTCGGTTAAAATTGTACTTATTGTTGTTTACTTATTGTAGTTTATGTATAGTATAATATATAATTTATGTTTTAAATTAATATCTTATTAATATTGTATAAAATTTATCTTAAAATTGAAAAAAGATGTTACATAAAAATAGTTTGTAAGATTTTCTAAAAGCATATATGCAAAGTATTTTGATTTATTTGAAAATAATTGAAAATAGATTTTTCAAGGACGGTGTCGAGGTCACGGGGTCGGTGTCGTTTTTCGAAATTTGTTAACTTAATATAATAGAAGATTGATACCGTAAAACGGGGTTATTTCGCTCATTGCGGGTAAATTCGCTCACCCACTTTTATGCTTTATTTCAGCTTTAAAATAAAGTTTAATACCTTTATTACCAGGTAAAAATGTTAAATTTGTTAACCCTCGGAGCACATACTGGGTCACACAGACCCTGTCATTAATTTCAATGAAGTGTAATTTGAAAAGTCGGCAATACAACACGAACCTAAGGCCATATAGTGGTAACTAACTAATAAGGAATAATAAGTAACATGATAATCCAAAGAAAATAATAAAATACTAGTAAATATGTTATTAAAAAAGTATAGTTTTAAAAAGTTGTGTCGAAAATCACATTTTTATCGTCTTAAAAGTTACCTTCGTTAAACTACAAAATAAATACCTTTTTTAAAAAATGAAATAAGGTGGTATTTTTTCCCTTATTCTAACACACTTCGAGAATATAAATCCCAATTTTTAGCTTAAAATATTAAAAATTACAAAAGTTACATTTTTTTTAAATTCAATTTTTTCTTTTTAATTAGTTAACTTCACGAATTTCTTTTCAATATGCAAATAATTTAATAATATTTCTAAACTGCATATTCTTATTTTACAAGGTTCAATGAATAAAAAAATATTTTTTTTGTGTTGATCAGTCCAATAGTTCAAAAATGGGGGAGTTTTGTAAAGTAAACAGGGTCACAGTGACCCAGACTGTGCTACTTGTTCGAAAAAAGAGGTGTGTGCTCCGAGGGTTAATAGAAATACTAAATTTTAGTTTAAATCAAATTTAAAGCAAAAAAATGGGTGAGCGACTTTACCCGCACAGAGCGAAATAACCCCGTTTTACGGTACTACTTAATTATTAAAAAATATATGTATATGTATATGGTTTAAGGCGTATATGTAAAAATAAAAAAATAATAATAATTAATATTCTTTATTAAAAATAATATGCAATTAGCTGTTAGCTGCTAAAAAATCACGTTTAGTGCCTTGACGGTCTATTAGACGGGAAAATAAAATCCTTACACAATACTAGAGCTTTTTTAATTATATCTAATGTTATTTAATTTTATTTACTATTAAAGAAAAAAATACTTGGTTATTTTTGAATATTATCAAATTTATACTGATAATTTTAAATACGAGTAATTTTTAGGTTCTATAAAAAATAGAAGGTCACATATGTGACATTGAAAACAATGTTGTCAGACAAATTCTGCGTTAACAATGTAAATTATTGTGCAATATGATACTAATTCTATTGTTATGTCAATATATCGATATTTTATATTTAAAATTTAACTCACGATTTATAATATTTTAAAGTCATTTTGTAATTTCATATACTTATACATATATCATATACAGGGTGTTCCAAAAGTATGGAAACTTGCAAATATCTCGAAAAGTACGAATTTTCGTAAAAAATGTTCAATACAAAAGTTGTTCCAAACAAAAAGATCTACATTGTTGAAACCAAAAAATTGGGCCCTACAATGAAAAAAGTAGTTTTCTTAAATGAGACCACTAATTTTGAATATCAAATTCGTAATCCCCATGAAATTCTGCGTTCAGACATGTGGTATAAGTGCCCAAAATATTGGGCCCAATCCAAGATATCGGGCCCAACATTTTTCGACAAACAAAAAAAAATTTTTTAAATCGTATATTTGGGGGTTTTTGGGGTCACAGGATTACAAAATTCAAAGCTACTTTTCAAATTGGGCACAGAGCCCAATGTAGGATTCCGCGGCCCAATGTAAGGCCCACAGTAAAAAAAAATTAGTTGTCTAAAATAAAACCCAATAATTTTTAGTATCCATTTCGTAATCGTCATGAAATTCTGGATTTAGTTTTGTAGTACAAATGCCAAAAATATTGGGCCCAATGTCTAGGATTGGGCTCAAAATTTGTTGACATAATCATAATCGTTGTGAAATTCTAGTCTCTAACTTGTGGTACAAATTACAAAAATATTGGATCTAATCCCAGACCTTGAGCCCAACATTCAACATTTTTCTACAAATCAATTTATTTCTTTGTCAACAAATTTTGGGCCCAATCCTAGACATTGGGCCCAATATTTTTGGCATTTGCACTACAAAACTAAATCCAGAATTTCATGACGATTACGAAATGGATACTAAAAATTAGTGGGTTTTATTTTAGACAACTAATTTTTTTACTGTGGGCCTTACATTGGGCCGCGGAATCCTACATTGGGCTCTGTGCCCAATTTGAAAAGTAGCTTTGAATTTTGTAATCCTGTGACCCAAAAACCCCCAAAGATACGATTTAAAAAATTTTTTTTTGTTTGTCGAAAAATGTTGGGCCCGATATCTTGGATTGGGCCCAATATTTTGGGCACTTATACCACATGTCTGAACGCAGAATTTCATGGGGATTACGAATTTGATATTCAAAATTAGTGGTCTCATTTAAGAAAACTACTTTTTTCATTGTTGGGCCCAACATTGGGCCCGGGGCCCAATTTTTTGGTTTCAACAATGGAGATCTTTTTGTTTGGAACAACTTTTGTATTGAACATTTTTTACGAAAATTTGTACTTTTCGAGATATTTGCAAGTTTCCATACTTTTGGAACACCCTGTATATAATTTTTTAAACGTAATGAAAAAAGCAATAATTTTTAATTTTTTATCAAAATAAAAAAAATAAAAAAATTGTATTTAATTCAAATAATCGGTTACTTGACTATTATCAAATAAATATTAAGTTGAACCAAATAATTTTTATTTGAATTAATAGTTTCTGTTTCAAATAAATACCATTTAATTAATTCAAATAACAAATTATTTAACATACAAGTAAATACTTATTTGATAGTTAAGTAATCGATTATTTGAATCAAATAAATTCTTTTTCAGTGTCATAGAAAAAATGTATTATGGTTTGAGGGATATTTGTCAAATTTATAACACACAGATGTAATTTTGAACAGTAAATAATTTATTTCATTAAATATAATACATTTATTTAGCGTTAATTTTCAAATAAAAAATAATTTCGTTTATAAATTAATTATTCATCCCCCATTGTTACGCTAGTTTACATTATAATAATTATAACTATAATAATTTGAGTTGGAACTTGTTTCATTATGGCAACTATCACTTAATGTTTTCTTGTTACAAACAAATTTTGATTCACTCAATTGTGTTACGCACATCTCTGAAAAAAATATTGCATTAAACACAGTAGCATATTAGGAGTTTTTTTTCTTATATTATAAAAAAATAAATCATTTTCAATACATTGAATAATTAATAATTTTAAAAAATATATGAATTATTATAATAGAAATCCTCTGAATTTGAAATGAATACGAATAGGGTCAGTTGGGGTAAATGGGGACAAGAGTATTGACAAGCTTTTATCTTGACAATTGACAGCAAGATAAAAAAAGTTATCGCTCAATGCATAAAAACTTAAAAATCAAAGTCAAACTGTTTCAGATATTTTCTCGAGCATTTCAAAGAAAACAGACTTAAAAATCATACCAAATTTTTTTCTTATTCCTTATGATTTCCATAATAGAAATTCACTTGAGTTTTTGATTTTTGTTAATTTGGTTAATAATGACAAGCTGTCCTCATTTACCCTGAGTTTTCGAATTTTTGGGGTAAATGAGGACAGCTTGTCATTATTAACCAAATTAAAAAAATTTCAAGTGAATTTCTGTTATAGAAGTCATAAAGAATAAGAAAAAAATTTATTAAGATTTTTAAGTCTATTTTTTTTCAAATGCGAGATAAAATACTGAAATGAAAAAAAAATAAAAAAATTTCAATTGGTTCAACTATTATATATTCTACTACAAATTTTTTCCAAGTTTTTTCATCCCTTAATACAGTAATATACTTAAGGAAACTTTTTTCTTAAAACTTTCTTAGAAACTATGCTGTCCCCATTTACCCCAAATTTTCTAAATTTTGGGGTAAATGGGGACAATCAGTTTCATGCGTTTAAAGCTTATCTAAATTTTTTTCTGTTGCATAAAATTAAACCTGGGAATATAAATAACAACTTAAAAAAATAATAAACCCGCAAATATTACCTTTTAACCCTCGGAGCACACACCTCTTTTTTCGAACAAGTAGCACAGTCTGGGTCGCTGTGACCCTGTTTACTTTACAAAACTCCCCCATTTTTGAACTATTGGACTGATCAACACAAAAAAAATATTTTTTTATTCATTGAACCTTGTAAAATAAGAATATGCAGTTTAGAAATATTATTAAATTATTTGCATATTGAAAAAAAATTCGTGAAGTTAATTAATTAAAAAGAAAAAATTGAATTTAAAAAAAAAATGTAACTTTTGTAATTTTTAATATTTTAAGCTAAAAATTGGGATTTATATTCTCGAAGTGTGTTAGAATAAGGGAAAAAATACCACCTTATTTCATTTTTTAAAAAAGGTATTTATTTTGTAGTTTAACGAAGGTAACTTTTAAGACGATAAAAATGTGATTTTCGACACAACTTTTTAAAACTATACTTTTTTAATAACATATTTACTAGTATTTTATTATTTTCTTTGGATTATCATGTTACTTATTATTCCTTATTAGTTAGTTACCACTATATGGCCTTAGGTTCGTGTTGTATTGCCGACTTTTCAAATTACACTTCATTGAAATTAATGACAGGGTCTGTGTGACCCAGTATGTGCTCCGAGGGTTAAAGGAAGAAAGTTACGTAATTTGTAAAAAAATAGCGATTTTGTTCCCATTTACCCCAACTGACCCTATTTGTGAGAAATTTTTTTTTACTAAACTAGAGAAATCTTTTGATTTCGAGAATAATTTTTCTACTGTATTATGCAATTATGTTAAAATTGCTTTTTTAATTTATTTTCAATTAAAAAAAATTTAAAAAAAAATTTTTTTTTTTGCTTTTTATATGTAATAAATAAAAAATTATTAACTATTACCAAAACATCTGTTTTGTACATCATGATTAAAATCTGCCTCTGTCAAACAGACTTCAAGAGATCTATGACATTTATCTATAATAAAATAAATGTTATTAAAATATATAAATATGATTTTTACAATTTTTATCTTTCTATGTCCATAATAAAATTTTATACTTTTTCTTTTAAATATTATTAAAAAATATTTTTTGAAATTAAACTTACAGGCCGCTTGATATATATTATCGAAGGTTTCTTCTTCCACTGAAAATAAATTGATAAATATTTCATTATTTGTATTCCAGTAAACAATAAGAAAAAAATGTTAAATAAATTTATAATTGAAAGCTTACCACGTGCTGTATTATCTGCTGGACGACCATTGTCTTCAAAATTATATATATCAAAATATGAATAAGTTAAGCAAAATACATTGTATAGAATAAAGAAAAAAATTATGATACGCATATTGGATATAGTTTCAAAGACTACGTTAAATTCGTAAAATTCACTGTATTATATACCCATTAGAAGGGTAAATTAGGTATTCTATTATATACACATTTTTATAATAATTTTAATATTTATTTAACGACAATATATAATGACTCAATAGTAATAAAGTTTTACGTAAGATTAAAACAAGATCTGTTATATATTAGACAATGAACATTATTTTCTTATGTAAATTTTTTATTAATTTTTATTTATTTTACTAGAACAACCTTTGAGCTCTGTACCTAATTGGATATAAACCGTTGGTTTAACAATGTCCCAATAATAGGAGCCAGTGGTTCCACTATTGATGCAATGTCAGCCAATATTGTAACACGATTGGTAAAATCTTGCTCCCACAAAAAAATGATTCTTTGTTTTAAAGAATGTTTTATTGAATCAAATAAATTTGTTCAGGATCTAAAAAAAATTTCTTTTAATTAAAGAATTTATTTCTTTATTTCTCTTTTCTTGACTCTAAATGAAATATATTTCTTGGATTTTACAAAAAAATTTATTTGAATCAAAGAAAAAAATTGTCATTTTAATGCACAAATGTATATATATACGTTCGTATTTTGATTAAAATAATATAGGTACTAGATAATTTTGCTTTAATATATTTACACTGAAAAAAATCATAATATCATAGTATCATATAATTTTTTTTTTTATTCTATACAATGTATACCGTGGATGTACCAGTTACTGTCCATGTCCCAGTTTCCGTCCATTTTACAAATATCTCGTATAGTAATTTAAATTATTTTTTAACAATAATTTATTCCTTTTGTCACACAATCGACTTATTAGTTTAAGTAAACAAATAAAAGAAAATAATTTTTTTATAAATGTTATTTTGAAAATTAAACTGGACGGAAACTAGGTCTTAGGTGGACGGTAACTGGGACATCCACGGTATTGCTTAACTTATTCATATTTTGATATACCGTGGATGTCCCAGTTACCGTCCACCTAAGACCTAGTTTCCGTCCAGTTTAATTTTCAAAATAACATTTATAAAAAAATTATTTTCTTTTATTTGTTTACTTAAACTAATAAGTCGATTGCGTGCCAAAAGGAATAAATTATTGTTAAAAAATAATTCAAATTACTATACGAGATATTTGTAAAATGGACGGAAACTGGGACATGGACGGTAACTGGTACATCCACGGTATATAACTTTGAAGACAATGGTCGTCCAGCAGATAATACAGCACGTGGTAAGCTTTCAATTATAAATTTATTTAACATTTTTTTCTTATTATTTACTGGAATGCAAATAATGCAATATTTATCAATTTATTTTCAGTGGAAGAAGAAACATTCGATAATATATATCAAGCGACCCGTAAGTTTAATTTCAAAAAATATTTTTTAATAATAATTAAAAAAAAAAGTATAAAATTTTATTGGGCATAGAAAGATAAAAGTTTTAATAATAATATTTATATATTTTAATAATATTTATTTTATTATAGATAAATGTAACACAATTGAGTGAATCAAAATTTGTTTGTAACAAGAAAACATTAAGTGATAGTTGTCATAATGAAACAAGTTCTAACTCAAATTATTATAGTTATAATTATTATAATGTAAACTAGCGTAACAATGGGGGATGAATAATAATTTATAAATGAAATTATTTTTTGTTTGAAAATTAACGCTAAATAAATGTATTATTTTTAATGAAATAAATTATTTACTGTTCAAAATTATATCTGTGTGTTATAAATTCGACGAATATCCCTTAGACCATAATACACTTTTTCTATGACACTGAAAAAGAATTTATTTGATTTAAATAATCGATTACTTAACTATCAAATAAGAGAGATTCTACCTATAAAATTAGTTGAATTTTATTTTGAGAAAAAATTAAAAATTATTGCTTTTTTCATTACGTTTAAAAAATTATATATATTAAATATGTATAAGTATATGAAATTACAAAATGACTTTAAAATATTATAAATCGGGAGTGAAATTTTAGATATGAAAGATCGATATATTGACATAACAATATAATTAGTATCATATTGCACAATAATTTACATTGTTAACACAGAATTTGTCTTTCATCGTTGTTTACACTATCACATATGTGACCTCGAGGGGGAATTTATACTAGTAAAAATTATTATTTAAGAGCAAAACTTTAAAATAAGAAATAGAGAAATAAATAATTAAATATTTTTAAATATTATAGTAAGTGCATCAATTACGGCGCGTTCATAAAAAATAACTATTATTACTATTATATTTAATATAACTATTGCAAAATGATTAAAAAAAATTATTTTAATCTTTTTTTGATACAATTACTAATGAAGATGCACATTTAAACAATTATTAATTAAATTATTTGAGATCAAATTTTTTCACTCGCCGTAATTTAAAACATTTTTAATATTTCCATTGGCTCTAATTTCGGCGGGCAAAGTATCTTCAAAATACACGTAATTTTGGTCACCGAAATTGATAGGGGAGAGTGGGGCAAAATGGGGTAGGCGGGTCAAACGGCGGGGTACCCCCAGTTTTCCATGATAGGTATTTCCATTTGTGTCAACTATTACATATATCTTTTATATTACAACTAACATTATTTTAATTACATAACCAGTATATAAAAATTTATTTATTATATTTTATGCGACTTTTAAATTTTAGGTCAAAAGAAAATCGATTTTTTATCGAAAGTAAATCACTTATAAAACTTTTTGTGTCGATATATTCGTTTTGGCAAATATTACATCTTTTTCAGCATTTATTTACGAGTAATTTTCATTAAAAGTAATTGTTAAATTATTAACAATAAGCTGAGAATTTTACATTTTGTTAAAAAATGCAGTGCGGGGTAAAACCGGGTACCAAACGGTGGGGCAAAATCGGATATATTTAAATGCATTACACTATACATATTTAAATTTTATCTCAAAATAATCGACATTTATATGTTTCGAAATCGATGTTTAACTTTCGATATATAATTTATTTACCATATCAATAAATAAACGATAAAAAATTAATAAAAATATGAAAAAATTTGTTTTAAAAGATTTAACTGCTGTTATTCATTATTAATATAATATATTTAGATTAAATTTATTGAATATTAATTATTTTCTATCATGTAAGTGATATATAATAATAATTGAACAAAAAGTTAAAGAATATTCCATGATTTATATATTTTCTTGATGGTACCCGGTTTTGCCCCACCATCGGGGCAAAACGGGGTACTTTGCATTTTTTTGAAAAAGCTGGTTTAAATTGATCAAAAAAATTTTTTTCATGCAATCGACCTTATTTTCTTATTCTCTAATGTTCAAGGAAGAACTTTCAACGACATTTGAACTAATTTATTTGATAGATTCTTTGTAAACCGAAAATTCCAAAAAGTTACCCCGTTTTGCCCCACTCTCCCCTACACCGAAACTGATACAAACGTGCCGCAATAGAAAATTACGGTATTAGTTTTAATTTCTCATATTTATTTAAATAATCGATTTTTTTAAAGTTAAACATTTTTTTTAACATCTAAATAACATAACCTTTTAGTTTAATATGTCTTAAATTGAGTTTATACAATAGAAATGTCGAATTTTCTATTTCAAAGGTGTTTTGACACGAATCGCGCCGCAATTAGTGCATTTACCCTACTTATAAAAGAAAATAATAAATTTCTCTTTTTTAAAACGTAAATAACTATTATTTAAAATGTTTTGAAATTTCTTTTAAAGAACACGATAAATAAAACTTATTTGTTTATATTTTTGGACGAGGAACTGAACAAATATAATTTTCTATATTATAATATCCGTGAGCATCCATGTTTATATAACGTTTAATATTTGGTTTTTGCTATCTTAAACCACGAACACAAACTACCTAAACCTCGTGCATTTTGTTTCGGTGTAATTACAGGAGTAGATATCTTAATGTACTTGGTTTTTTTGTACTTATTCCGGTAAGGTAGCTAAAAGCTAAAATTCGGCCAATTACTAAAGAACCATCTTCTGATTTGATTCTGTAAACATTTCATACCACCACCTATGGCAAAGTTGTTATACTTCAGCATCAAGTCGCGCTACATTTGAATAAGTGTTTAAAATTTTTACTTATATTAACATTTTTTGGTTTGATTTTCTTTAAATTTTTTAAGGTATTACATCATAATACCATAATATTACAAGTATTACATGATATTACACAATAATACTTATTATTACAAGACATTACAAAATATTACAGGTATTACTGAGTATTACTAGGCAAGTGTACACTTGACTACCGGAGTAAATTCCCCCTCGTGTGACCTTCTATTTTTTATAGAACCTACAAATTACTCGTGTTTCAAATTATCAATATAAATTTGATATTATTCATAAATAACAACACTGAGAAAACTGGAGGTTCAAATTCAGAGGTTCAAAAAGTGTATGCTTCCCTTTATTATTAAAGAGAGTTTAATAGTCCTTCTAGAATGATTTTGAATGAACTAGCTGATGCGCGGACGTATTTATTTCTCAATCGAATAGACTGAATTTTGGGGTTAGGTTGCCATATTTATTCGTTCCGCGTACGATAAGGAAGGTATATTTCTCAAGATTGATAATCTGTCCTTTTGCCATAAACTCATTTTCCCTCCAGGAGAAATGGCTTAAATATCTATGTGAATGGTGTATTCCATTATTTAGATTATTTTCCAATAGCTAACTCTCAAATATAAACTCTTTATCCCTCCAAATGTTCACTTCAAACCTCCAGTTTTCACAGTGCAAATAATTTTTTTTTTCTTTAATCAACAAAAAATTCGTTTATTATTATAGATATAATTAAAAAGCTTTAGTAATGTGTAAGAATTTTATTTTTTTTATGAATTTTTATTTTTAGTGATGGCACTAAACATTATTTTTTAGCACCTAGCAGCTAATCGCATATTGTTTTTAGTTAATTATTTATTATTAATTAATTAATATTAATTTTTATTATTACGTCGCCTTAAAACGATATATATTTTTTT